AATCATCAAAAAAAAAAAAAAAAAAAAAACAATTTAAAAAAATTTTTTAGGCCTATGTAGGTATACAGTATTTTCATTTTACAGTAGTTTAAAACGATATCGGGGGAGGGGGTGCTGGCATGGCCTACTAGACAACAATATATTAAACCACCTTAGCGGCAGGCGTCAACGTTCCTATGCAGAATGATAGTGAAGTTATATGACTGAATTTAATACACGAAATATTTCAATTTGAAAACATATTTAGGCCGTTTGCTGTGTTATGCTGTGGTAGCTAAAATGTTGGTCTATAGGCCTAATTAATACATCAACTGTGATACTTTTATCACTATGGATTGTTTTCAACTTTCGCAGGGACGTATTCAGGGAGGAACTGATTCCATCCTCCCTCTCCCCCCACCCTTTTGTACACAGTTTTAATACAAATTCTTTCCTTAAATCACTCAGACTCTTTAACAGAGATCAACAAAACTTAAACTTATGAAGTAAACAGTTTGGGTCAAATGTCCGTGTAAAAAAAAAAATATAAGGCAAAAATAAAATTATAGTAATATAACAATATTTGGTTTTATTTCAAAATTATTATTTACTAAATGTAGTATCAATAAACACAATAGTTTGTTATGTTAGTACTGTTTGCACTAGTATGTTAATGACACCTTGATGTTTTCCACAACGGCAATGTGGGCCAATGACAAGATTGAGTGCAATGGGAATAAAGTGATGGATAGCTAGTTAGTAAACTAATCACAATACAAGGTACAAAAATGGCAAAAACAAAAACAAAAAAAAAACAAAATGTTGGAAAACTTTTGCTGAAGATGTCTACACACACATACACACACACACCCACACCCCCACACATGCAAAAAAGAGAATACAATAGTTCCTATTGCATTACTTGCATAGGAACTAATAAAGTATCTCTTCAGGGATCTTGTCATTTAATGCCCAACTCAGATAGCGTCGTACGATGCAGCCGACAAAACTCATCATTGGAGACAGTCCTTAAGCCGTCGTGAGAAATGTAAACATGTTAAACTACGACGCAACTGCCCTAACGGCGAATATTTTTTACTCGCATAGGGAATTTCGAAAAATATACAAAACAACAGTCTGGTCAAAATAGGCTAATGAGATAAGACGTCACACGTCATTTAACAATAAATGGCCTAGGCCATAAAAATAGACCTATAGTAGGCAAGCATGTTTAATTCCTAAGCATGTAGTGCGCTGGTGGCAATGGTGTGTTGCCGTTTATAGAGGCTTAAATAGGCCTACTCTAGGCTTCAGCCATCGTTAACAAAGGGCTCATTTGTAGATAATATCTTTGGTAAGCCTACCTGTACTTGTTTCACATATTTTAAAAGCCTATCTGGTGACACATAAAACGCAATCGCAAATGGAAACAGAAAGCAAAACAAGCAACTTTTTTGTCTGTCGCAAAGTTACAGTTAAAGCTACGATCGCTCTCGTACATTTATTGTTGTGAAATGACATGCAACGTCTGGTGGTGTGACCAGACTGTAGTTTTGAATATTTGTCAAAATTCCCAAGGCTAGTGGGTAAAAAAAAAAATGTTGCATCCCAACGCAAACAATCATGTCTGCGCTTAACTCACACAGACCCGACGTGACAACAAATCGCGTCGAGCTGCGTTGGCCTTAAGATGCTTAAGAAGAGAGCATAACACAATGATCTATGTTTGTAGTGTGTGCTTCAAATATGGCAATATAAAAATCTATTTAAACTATTCTACATGACTTCTGAAATTTCATTATACATTATGATTTCAAAATACCGTAACAATGTCTAACTTGATCTAATTGTTAAACTGACCGTCTTTGTTTGAATCAACAGGGTCTGATTCATTATCCAGTTTAATTTCTACAGACCACTCCTCTGGTAATTCTTCATTTTCTTGTTCTTTCAAATAATTTGACATTATACTCTTCACGTTTTCTATTAAAAATAAAAAGAAAGAACAAACAATTATGATATTCCATTGCAATGAAATGTATATAAATTACCAAAACAGTGGCTATAATCAAGGTAAATGTTGCCCTTTTAATTAAGGGAACTTATCAAAGATGATTTATCAAATTTAACTTTAGCAACTTGTTATATTCTACAGAACTTCTTGCTATAGAATTGGACAAAGCTGCCTATATAAGCATTACTGTTTTGTATTCATCCATCTCTGTATGTCAAGTTTCAGAAAGATTACGCAAAAATTATAAAATTTAGTGGAATAGTACATAATCTAAGAAAGAGCGGATCAAATTTTGTTAGAATTGGAACGAGCTGTCTATTAGTACAGCCAATCTACAAACCAGAGCCTTGCAGGCATCAACATAGACTTGCCACAAGTCTCTAATTTATTTATTTTTCAGAAAAAGTATACTATAGAATGCCATGCAAATAAGTAATATGGAATCCATTGGTGCCAAAATCGATTTATTTTTCAGCATTTTCACTGATTAAGACAAAGTTACTGGAAACACATCTAGCATCAATTTTCCTATGCATGATACATGACTTTATCAGATTTTATGTGGTGGTCTAATTTGAACAATTCAGGAGAGTGAGCTTTTATGGCCCAAATATAGTGATTTTAGACCACATTGGTAGTGTTATTTGATAAGCAAATTACAGTAATATTTTTAGAACACCAACAAGGTACTTAACAATTTTGTAAAATAAAAAAATAATTAAATTTTCGTAGGCCTAAGTATACAGTATTTTCATATTACAGTAGTTTGGAACGATGTCAGGAGTGGGGGAGCTGGCAGTGGCGTACTAGACTAAAATATGAAAAATGGCTTGTGCCCAATCATCCACACCAGTTTGGCCTAAAAAAAAAATATATAGACAAAAAATTATAATTAGAGTAATATAATAAAATTTGGTTCTATTTGAAAATTATTATTTACTAAATACATTAACAATAAACACAATACTTTGTTATGTTAGTACTGTTTGCACTATATTAAATGTTAATGGCATATTTTCCACAAAAGCAAATGCGGGCCAATCTGTCACGATTGAGTGCAATGGGAATATAGGATGGCTATTTAGAAAACTAATCCTAAAGGATGGCGGCTCTAGGATATAATTTATGGGGGGCGCTCTATAGGATGTCCAACTGAGGGGGGGTAAGTAATTATGTGTGTAACTATAGCACGCAGCGCTATCTGAGAATGAGTATGGGAGAGGAAGTCCCTTCCTCCCAAAACAAAATTTTTTTTTTTTTAAAGTAACTTCTAGATGGCTGGAAATGGCTGGAGATGGGAAAACTAGGCCTATTTTTTTTTTTTTTTTTTGGACTGTTTGTTTTTGTTTTTTGTAGTTCCTATTGCATTACATGCATAGGAACTAGAGAAAGGGGTCAACCTGAAAAAAATTGCAATAGTAATGAAATTAATTGTTTTCAACCCAAAATTCAATGAGGAATAACATATCAAAAATCTAGGAAAATTTAATTAGTGGAAGGGGTCAAATTTGACTAAAAATGGAAAATTTTACACATTTTTACCCAAAAGTATTTTTAAGGTAGTCACTGGAAGATTCAATTTGAAGTGATGCATATGATGATGCACTAAATTGGTTTTCTGACCCGAAAATTGGCAAAAAAAAAATCCCAATTTCTTATAATGACTTTTCGCTAAATTTAATAAAATGAAATATTTTATTATTTAAATACAGAAAATACTAAGCTAACAAACTTTTCATCTGTTACTTTCTTAAAAACTAACCACATACAAAATAAACACCTATTAAAAATTTCAGACATTATCCATTTTGTGTTTCAAGTTATAGTATGTCAAACATCATCTCTTACAAAAATGACAAATTTTACACCTTTTCACCTCAAAATGGTATTTTTTTTGCTAAAATTAACAATTAACAATGAAAAAAAATGGGCTTACAACTTTTTTGCCTGATACTTTCTCAAAAACTGACCACATACAAAATAAAACATCTGTATAACATATAAACGTCTTTCTCAAAAACTGACAACATACAAAATAAAACATCTGTATAAAATATAAACATTATCCATTTTGTATCTTGGAGTTATAGAATGTCAAAAGTTATCATCTACAAAAAATGGCAAATTGTATACTTTATTACACCAAAATGGTATTTTGAAGCTAGTATGTTACTATAACGATTAAATTTATATAGTACCATAAGAAAGCATTTAAACTTATCTAACAAATGATGTGTGTTATAACATCATACTGAATCATACAGTATAGCATTCCTATGTATCTTAAAAGACCTGGCCTGAGATTTATGAATTTAAGATTTGTTTTAATCACGCTTAGGCCTATGTATTCGATTAGGCCTATATGTATAACGTGTACTGATGTATATTTACATGTTTTAGAAGTATTCATTGTGTGTGATCCCAGGAAAGAATTTGTATTGGCTTAAGAACAAGCTTTAAGATTTTAACACTTTGTATAAAGGGAGGGATACGTCCCTGGAAGTGACGAGAGTGTATTGTGTATTAAAGTTATTATGATTTAAAGTGCTCTAGAAAGGGGGAAAGACTTTAAACGCTCTAGGATAGCATTTTTAAAAGTGGTTATCAATGATTTGTTTACAACTGACTGCGGTAAAGCATTCCACAAAGAGGTGGCTTCTGGGAAGAATGACTGAATAAAAGATGTGGATGTATGCCATCCGTCTCTTTGTTTAAATCTCATTTAAAAACTCACTTATTTCGTTCTCTTTGATTTCCCCTTTTCTTCCCTTGCCAGCTAGCTTTTTGTAGTTCTATCAGGATAGGAGGCGCCCGAGTCCTGGGATGGCCGAGACTTAACTGGTGCTGAACAGGGAACATTTTGATAGATCCCTGCTCAGCGACGAGGGCGTATCCCCATACTGCAGTTTGAGTGCTGGCTTGAATTTTCTCTTTTTTTTTGTCCAGTATACATCTGCTCACTTGTTTTGCGCATTGAGACTCTCGTATTTTGCGCAATATAAATGTATAACCTTTAACCTTTATGCTGGTAGGTTACGTATTGCTTATTGTGACATCTTCTGGTTGGCTTAAGAGGGGGCTTAAGCCCCCACCGGACAGGTCAAGTCCCCCTCCCCCTGCCGGACAGAGCTCGTTGGGAAGTCAGACGATAAAACATATAAAAACAAGCCCACACCAAGCCAACACATGTCTGTCACAGTCTGAGAGTGCCATTCTCGGCCATCCAGAGATTGATATTCTTTAAAAAAAATCTCATTTGGGAAGGGGAACCTCCTCTCAACCCCTTCCTCCAGCTCGAGCCTACGAGCTCAAGTCCCCCTGTCGGACAAATTAGCCCCCCCCCCAGAAAATATATCCTAGAGCCGCCACTGTTTGGAACAATGATGGAAATTTCTTTGAATGAAGTTTAGCATTTTTGTAGCTTTAGCTGCTGCCTGTTGAGATTTCTTGTCCCGTATGGTCCAAAGCAGTAGATTTGCCAATGAGTGTGTGGCATTTTGGTCTATTTGGCTTTTTGAAAACTATAGAATAATTTTCAGTATTGTCGAAGATGGGGAGTGATGGGTGGTACAGAAGTAAGAAGGGTACGTGGGCCTATCACGATTCGGACCAAGGCCCTGTAAACACATGCGTTACACCTCTGTTAAGGCTTGGCAGTAAAGTACTTGGTGTCACTGTTAGTAGTAGGAGGCCCTTCCCACCAGTTGACAAGCTTTACGCAACTGGGTCCAGTTTATTTTAATACGGTATGCCATATTAGTAGACTTTACTGGACAATATATGGAAAATTATACCATTTTCGATATATGTGTACTGTAAAACATTATTCAGCATAGGAAGAGCTTCCAACGATACCAAACACAACACATTTTGGTGAGTTTGATTGTTTGACCTTTGACTCTTTTGTGTCATATGACTTTATTAATTGGCCTATATCTCTGTAAATATACATTATTATGTGTAATTGAATTAAATGATCAGTGCATAATTTCCATTGACACCAAACATGAGCATGTTGTATGTGGTGCAGCTGATGACATGGATAAAAAAATGGTATTAAACTTTTTATGAATACAGAACCCCAAAAATGTTAACGTTAGCCAATAAAATCCATTTTGGCACAACCTATCAACATAATGTTACAAAAAGGTTTGCTACTTTCAGTTAATTTATTGTTTATAAACTCATGCCAAAATAACAGAATCATAATTATAAGGTTAGAATATTTCCTAACATACCATCAATGTCGTCAGTATCTTCTTGCCACTCATTACAGCCTATGCTTCTCGTTGATTGTTTGTGCTCATTAAATCTGTAGGAAAGACAATAAAACATAGTGATAATTGAAGCAACAGTCAGAAAATCAAAAGTATATTTTAGAATTTAATCAAAAGTATATTTTAGAATAACTTGACAAGTACACTTTAAGTGAATATCTATATGATGATATCAGTGACAGTACAGTATATGGCTAATTTCTGTTCCAAGTTAATCAAGTTGTTGTAAATGATGATAATGAGTCTATATAATGATGGAGTCTTGCAATAAATATCAGAACAACAAGACCAACATAATGCCAGTTAAGCTGGGAATTATATTATTATAAGTACTAGTTATCCTTCTAAAAAAAAAAAAAACAAATTGGTAGACAACAGTACTCAAATAAAGGAACAATGATGTAAAAATTCCGTTCCTAAGTTCCTAATCAATAGTATGAAAACATTTCTAAGGCAGGAATTGAACCCACAGTCTCATGCCACTAAAATACAACAGTTCACTGGTATATCACAAGTACAATCCAACCAAGCAGTTCCTCAAACAACTAATATACGCCCTCAAAAAGCGGGCTGATGTAAAGTGTACTCTAGAGGTTGTAGCTGGTAGTATAATAGGTATTGCAAGGTGATGAATCTAATCAAATAATGTTAGAAACCATGTTGAATAAAGGGAAAGGAACAATAATGAAACTAATAGCAGTAACAGTAGTAGCAGTAGCAGTAGTAGTAGTAGTAGCTCAAACTGTCTTTTAAAGATGCTATTGGTAAACTGCATCCAGCAAAGATATCAGCAATGTTAACTGAATTTTTTATTTCTTTTCTTTAATTTCTAGCTTTATTTTCAATTTGATTTCGTTTTTTTTTCATTGTTCACCTAAAACGTTTTACTGTAGTACTCCTTATTTTTCAGTTTGGATCAGTTGGTAGAACATCCGAATGGTAATCAGACGGTCTTCAGTTAGAACAAGTAGGATGTATAATTTGGAGTACACATAGGAGAAACATACGGTTATTTTTTTTTTGGTATCTAACAAGTGACTAATATATAAAATAAAATACAAAATATGCACATGGGTGCGATGGTTGCGGTATGCATACCACAAATAAGGAATAGATGTGTTTAACTAAATTAAAGGATATATGTACAATCACTATAATTGGATTTGCCAACTTACGTTTTTCCATGGAGAGCATTTACTAAAGGAATTTTTGCAACATCCTCTCTGCCACAAACCATTACTTTCCGATTGGTAAGTCCTTGTTCTAACTCTTTAAAAAGCTGCACAGCTTCTTTACCTCTAGCTATCACTTCTTCTGGAACTTGACACACTAATTCACAGAGAAAGAAAGTATGATGTTGGTTAACAATTCTCTAATATACAGAAAATTATAAAATAAATTGGTTAATTAGGACAAAATGTTTATATTTTGTTTGAAAAAAAAAACTTTCATAAAAGTTTTAAAATAATAATTAAAAAAAACCACATATAGCACATGATTCTTTATGCATTGAAAAAAAAAAAAATCATGATAAAGATTAAACAGAATGTATTGACAATAATGAGAATAATAAAAAAAATGGTTTGCTTATTGTCCCTAGATATTATATAATATTATTTTCTATATTACTATTATGACATGCTTATTACAGTTTACTACATCAGGAATCTTGGAAAATAGAAACTTTCTCATGCGTTAATTTTGCATATCTTTTGCACTGATCATTTCTTTGAGTTGTAGATCAGTGATCATAAGTTGTTAGGATATCTCTTAAGAGGTGCTTTCATTCTATCTATTTTCTTAGATTGTTTGGAATCTGTTGCATCGCAAATTTCATTAACTTTTGTCTTTGAATTTTGTAATGGTTCTTCCTCTAACATTCAGTCTGATATTTTTTATTATGAATTGAAAATCTAATTGTTCAGTTATCTTGTATGATATAAGAGAGAAATATTTCTTTAACTCAGATGATATAATTATACCAACTTATTCAGCAAATCTAACAGACTAGTTGGATGATATACTTCCATTTGGCAAGCATGCTCTGAACAACACTTTTAACATATTAAGACTACTGTATCCGTCTGGTTATACCATTTTCCGACATTAACTATAAGACTTCGAAATCTATGAAATCAATATTACTACCATAATTGACCTGTATTCATCTAATGCTTAGTGTTAGTTTTGTACTTTGGCGGTCTGGAAGTATGGCGGCAATAGTAAAGGATCCTGGGGCCCCTTTGCAGCAGTGTATCTAGGAGTTTTGAAATGGAGGAGGCTGATGAGGTTCCCGAAATGATGTGGGGCTCAATGAATAAGCGGTGGTAGGGCTGCCAGTTTGAAAGCCAGTTAAAAAAATAGTTATAAATAACTATTTTTTATGCTTTGAACATTTCTAATAGAAGGGAGATGAAGTTTCTTTTTTTTGACAGGTATGCTACCCACATGATGCGCCAGCGTTCCTTCAGGGCACAATACCCCCTAGAGAAGAAGCCAAATGTACAGCATTTATAGTCTGAGAATGCCATTCCTACTGCCATGGGTTTGGGCATAGTTTATGTCCACCTTGCTGAATTTCAGGATTTTGAGGGCTGATTCCAATTTTTACCACTACTTTACAGATAGCTTTTTGAAAATTCCCATGAATCATTTAGTATCAGTCTCTAGATTACTGCAATGCAGCAAAGGACGTCATATTTCCTGTTCTGTTGCATCGTCTCTCTTGTGGCTACAACAAAGTGCTTGCAAAATTTCCGAAATAACCATAAGTTTTAATACGTAAATAAAAGTTACTCATTTCAATAGAGATAGTGCATCTGCCTTCTAAAGAGCAATAAACATATAAAACAAATTAATTTTCATTTCAAATAGTGAGGTTTTTATGTTCAATGCAAAATTGTGGTATTTTTAAGAACTGCATGGACATGTAGAATCCAGCTTTTTGCGATTGGTACATTTTTCGATGCTATCTTTTTTCAAGATAGCTGATGTAAAAAAAAATAGTCTCAAATGACACATATCAACATTTTAATGTTTACGCTTCCCATGCTCTTCTATAGGAAGCCAGTAAGCCACAGAAAAGAGCATGTTTTGAACTCTTAAAAATGTTGCAAATTATGGATGGCCCTACTGATACCAAATAAAGCATTACAGAAATAATAGGCCATGAAAGTCGCTTAACCACAAAAAGTTCAAATGGTAAAAATTTTTAACACACTACGACTTGTCAATGCCAGAGATAAAACCTTTCCTGATGTATCATTCTTCTGTTGAATTGCCTAGGTAAAAGACAATTTTTATACACACTTATTTAGTAATACGAATATAATTAATTATATTCCTACATAAATGTAAAATGTATTAGTTGAACTACATTTGTCGGTTTATTGTTTATTTCTTTACCGATTACTCATCACCGTAATGTATAATCAATTTCACATACAAACAATACTTGTATTAGGCCTACAGCCTAAATCTGGGTTAGTCCACTTAATAATCATAGGCCTATATTAATAATAATAAGTAAAATTTAAGTTTTTGTAATTGTAATTATAATAATTTTTCATTTTTCATTTTAGTTAATTATTAATAAGACACAAATAATAATAATTATTTAAGATTTTTAGGCTACTGTAATATAATATTATAATAATATTTTCTTTGTTTATTTTTACTTGACTCACATTTTTGTTCATCATTTTTCGGACCTTATACAAGCTCTTAGCTTTTTATTGTTGTCCTTTATGGTTTTTGATAATTTACTATACAGGCCTACTTTTTGATTAATAAATTGATTTAATGTAATTCATGGGAAAAAAGCTTGATCACACCTCACAACAAACCTTGGCCTACTACTGTCTGAAAGTGATAAGTGGAAGCCACGGCAAAAAAAATGCGATATTATTATCAATAGAGCGGCGGAGAGAGGCGAAGCACAGCACAGTAAAGAGAAGGATCTTTGCTATTAAATGAATATTCATATAAAAATTATAGCGCCACAAATCAACTTGGCTGAGATGTTGAGGGAAAAAAAAATTACGCACGTTCCAGAATTAACAGGTTTATTCTGCCCTTGGCAGTGTAAAAGTGGTTATCAATGATTTGTTTACAACTGACTGCGGTAAAGCATTCCACAAAGAGGTGGCTTCTGGGAAGAATGACTGAATAAAAGATGTGGATGTATGCCATCTGTCTCTTTGTTTAAATCTCATTTAAAAACTCACTTATTTCGTTCTCTTTGATTTCCCCTTTTCCTACCTTGTCAGCTAGCTTTTTGTAGTTCTATCAGGATAGGAGGCGCCCGAGTCCTGGGATGGCCGAGACTTAACTGGTGCTGGACAGGGTACGTTTTGATAGACCCCTGCTCAGCGACGAGGGCGTATCCCCATACTGCGGTTTGGGTGCTGGCTTTGATTTTATTTTTTATTTTCCCATTACATCTGCTCACTTGGTTCTATCGCTTCGCGAAAATACATGCCGTTCCGATAGTAAACAATGTATTCGTGTAAAATTAACACCGGTGGCGCTGTACACATTACGCATTTCTATTTTAACTTTACGACCGCGATCATGCATATCAATACTTTCAGCGAACCAGAATCCACGATGGTTTTACCGGCGAAAATAGGGTCTTGGCTGCGCATCATCATCGATGCATCATCCAAATCCAAAATGTTGGACACTGAAATAAAGCTATAGAATTTTATTTTTCAAAAAATGTTAGTATATATTACCCCATTTTTAAGATTTAATTTGAGCACTAGAGATCTGCTCAGAGTCCACCAGAGAGCATCTAGGCCTAAAAATTTCCGGGGCCCTAAGCGGGCCCTCGACCCACGCCTAAATTGTTTCGTTCCTGTGCAAATCTCCATCCACAGCCAAACTCAAACTTGGCATGTATGTATGTGGTGCAGCTGATGACATGGATAAAAAAATGGTGTTAAACTTTTTATGAATACAGCACCCCAAAAATGATAACGTTAGACAATAAAATCCATTTTGGCACAACCTATCAACATAATGTTACAAAAAGGTTTGCTACTTTCAGTTAATTTATTGTTTATAAACTCATGCCAAAATAACATAATCATAATTATAAGGCTAGAATATTTCCTAACATACCATCAATGTCGTCAGTATCTTCTTGCCACTCATTACAGCCTATGCTTCTCGTCGATTGTTCGTACTCATTAAATCTGTAGGAAAGACAATAAAACATAGTGATAGTTGAAGCAATAGTCAGAAAATCAAAAGTATATTTTAGAATTTAATCAACAGTATATTTGAGAATAACTTGACAAGTACACTTTAAGTGAATATCTATATGATGATATCAGTGACAGTATATATGGCTAATTTCTATGTTCCAAGTTAATCAAGTTGTTGTAAAGATAATGAGTCTATATAATGATGGAGTCTTGCAATAAATATCAGAACAACAAGACCAACATAATGCCAGTTAAGCTGGGAATTATATTATTATAAGTACTAGTTATCCTTCTAAAAAACAAAAAACAAATTGGTAGACAACAGTACTCAAATAAAGGAACAATGATGTAAAAATTACGTTCCTAAGTTCCTAATCAATAGTATGAAAACATTTCTCAGGCAGGAATTGAACCCACAGTCTAAAATACTACAGTTCAGTGGTATATCACAAGTACAATCCAACCAAGCAGTTCCTCAAACAACTAATATACGCCCTCAAAAAGCGGGCTGATGTAAAGTGTACTCTAGAGGTCATAGCTGGTAGTATAATAGGTATAGCAAGGTGATGAGTCTAATCAAATAATGTTAGAAACCATGTTGAATAAAGGGAAAGGAACAATAATGAAACTAATAGCAGTAACAGTAGTAGCAGTAGCAGTAGTAGTAGTAGCTCAAACTGTCTCTTAAAGATGCTATTGGTAAACTGCATCCAGCAAAGCTATCAGCAACGTTAACTGAATTTTTTATTTATTTTCTTTAATTTCTAGCTTTATTTTCAATTTGATTTCGTTTTTTTTTGTTCATTGTTCACCTAAAACATTTTACTGTAGTACTCCTTATTTTTCAGTTTGGATCAGTTGGTAGAACATCCGAATGGTAATCAGACGGTCTTCAGTTAGAACAAGTAGGATGTATAATTTGGAGTACACATAGGAGAAACATACGGTTATTTTTTTTTGGTATCTAACAAGTGACTAATATATTAAATAAAATCCAAAATATGCACATGGGTGCGATGGTTGTGGTATGCATACCACAAATAAGGAATAGATGTGTTTAACTAAATTAAAGGATATATGTACAATCACTATAATTGGATTTGCCAACTTACGTTTTTCCATGGAGAGCATTTACTAAAGGAATTTTTGCAACATCCTCTCTGCCACAAATCATTACTTTCCGATTGGTAACTCCTTGTTCTAACTTTTTAAAAAGCTGCACAGCTTCTTTACCTCTAGCTATCACTTCTTCTGGAACTTGACACACTAATTCACAGAGAAAGAAAGTATGATGTTGGTTAGCAATTCTCTAATATACAGAAAATTATAAAATAAATTGGTTAATTAGGACAAAATGTTTATTTGTTTGAAAAAAAAACTTTCATAAAAGTTTTAAAATAATAATAAAAAAACCACACATAGCACATGATTCTTTATGTATTGAAAAAAAAATCATGATAATGATTAAACAGAATGTATTGACAATAATGAGAATAATAAAAAAAATGGTTTGCTTATTGTCCCTAGATATTATATAATATTATTTTCTATATTACTATTATGACATGCTTATTACAGTTTACTACATCAGGAATCTTGGAAAATAGAAACTTTCTCATGCGTTAATTTTGCATATTTTTTGCACTGATCATTTCTTTGAGTTGTAGATCAGTGATCATAAGTTGTTAGGATATCTCTTAAGAGGTGCTTTCATTCTATCTATTTTCTTCGGATTGTTTGGAATCTGTTGCATCGCAAATTTCATTAACTTTTGTCTTTGAATTTTGTAATGGTTCTTCCTCTAACATACAGTCTGATATTTTTTATTATGAATTGAAAATCTAATTGTTCAGTTATCTTGTATGATATAAGAGAGAAATATTTCTTTAACTCAGATGATATAATTATACCAACGTATTCAGCAAATCTAACAGACTAGTTATGGATGATATACTTCCATTTGGCAAGCATGCTCTGAACAACACTTTTAACATATTAAGACTACTGTATCCATCTGGTTATACCATTTTCCGACATTAACTATAAGACTTTGAAATCTACGAAATCAATATTACTACCATAATTGATCTGTATGGCAGATTCCTGAATTCCAGAGTCTTTAAGTTTTGACATGAGGAGTTTGTGATAAGTTATGTCAAAGGCCTTTATCAAATCTATAAAGATGGCTGCAGTTGCTTTGCCTTTTATTTAAATTATGGAGAATATAATTTGACTCATCAATAAGTGTAGTATTTGTTGAATGGTTTTTCCTAAAGCCAGATTGGGATTCATTCAAAATATTAACTCTTGTAAAATAATTGTATAATTGTTGGTGTACAGCATGTTCAATGATCTTTAGTTACTAGTGGTAGGATGGATATAGGTCTGTAATTGTTAGTAGAGGGATTAGAAAATTTATTGGCAAGAGAAATTCCAATTGAAGTAAAATGTTCATTAAATTGATTAGCAGTTTCTTTATCAGAAGTCTTAAACATATTATCTTTGTGAACTAGCTCGTTCAACATTGGAATGATTTTTCGGAATTAACTTATGAATAGTATTCCACAATTTCTTTGGATATTTAGCATTTTGTTTAATGGAATTAGTGCAAAATTTACGTTTTAAGTCTCTATTTAGAATATTTACTTAATATTTACTAATATTTCTCAATTTTTTTGCCTTACTTCCGGCCTAGGCGTCGTGACTGCCTGTATGTGTATGTGGATTGCTAAGAACTGAAACTCAGAATTTAAAGTTAAAGTATATTTGAGTTGGCTAAATTCATTGAAGACGTATCTTTCTACTGGTGTTGGTGACAAAGAGTGTGTGCTAATTGTGTTATATATCAATTAGTAACAAAGTGATAAGAAGAAAAACTATTGTATTAACAATACAAGAAGACAAAAAGTATTGATGACAGAAGACAGTAATATTAATATTGTTACAGTTAAATAATATTATATTACATTACATTGTGACAACTACGTAATATGGTGGCAGCGGTAAAAGAAATCTATTTTCATTGGAACGTCATCGGATGCCGAAAGTGATCATACTAAAATCACTTGGTGGTCCTGTGAACTGGTAAAGCAGAATTGATCTGTGAGCAGAAATTGATCTGACCAAGATTTCCTAGTACATTGAGGGTGATTATTGTTGTTAAAGATAAATTTATTACATAAGTAAGATGGGGCCTTTTCTTTTAGACATTTGAAAGTTAATAATAGAAGATGTTTCCATTCCATCTGTCGACCAATCTTTTCCATTCCAACTCATTTTCAACTGGTACCTACCTCTGTCGGAGGTACCAGCCCTACAGTATGTCGGGGAAGATCTGGCGCTGCCACCGCAACCCATACGATCACGATAGTGTACAACACCTCGCACATACAGTAGTACTGCTCGGAGTAAACAGTTTTTAATCCCAAAATATGACAGCTTAGTCAGGCATACCTAAATTGTTTTTTCGGCGGTTGAGATTTCATTTTTCCCAGACGACCTTGCTGGAAATTCCCGACAAGGAGGTCCAAGCGGGGGATCTAGAGGTACCCGGTGGGGGTCCTTGGCACTCCTGGACCCTCTGCTTGCGTCGCCCCCTACCGATCTGATCTACATTTTCAGGCGAAGTTGAAGGGACTAGTGCTATAGTATTACTAATTTTTAATAGATTTAAAGCAACACTTATAGTGTTGCTTATAGTGTTAAATATATCAGGCAATAGTAAACATCAGGTACGGTATGTCTGAACAAATACAGGTGCACACAATGATGTCATTATACCTTGACTTGGCTGCGTGCTGTTATAAGATTGATTATCAACAGTTCGTGTACTGAAGGTTTTGACTGAGATATGTGTTTCAGAGCATTACAAAATATTCTGATTGATTGTGAAAAATAATGTTGAATCTTTATTGCTAAGCAAAATAAACTAATGGCAAAGTAAATCAATTTAAAAATTTAAATACTTGGGAATCACCTACAAAAACCAAATTTTGATCAATTGTGAATAGAAATATGTTAATAATTTGATTTATAAGATAAAACTTTTTTGTGTGTAGCTAAATAATTCACTATAGTCGAATTTCAGACAAAATGTAATGTACTAGGATACCAATGTATTTAGTACTTACAAAAAAAATGAAATATGTTTATTTTAAGACATTTATTGGAAGGCAGATTTTCTAACTAATGGCACAAAGTATTAAGTTGTAATTGAAATGTTTAGTAATCATCTATATAACGTGCATGGATTTATTTGTATCACCAATATCATCATACTTTCCATTAACACCAAATTATGGAAGACCGAGGATGCATGCATCATTGTCAATGTGTGAAAATTTGAAGTAAATCGGTTCAATAGTTTTGAGTTATGCTCCAGGAAGAAAACATAGGAAGACACACAGAAGAGCACTACCTCTCCTTTGGTGTGACAAGGCTATTGAATCCAGTACCTATTCTAAATTATTCTAAATTGTTTTCATTTAAAGAAATTTCATTTCAAACATGATTATATAAAATATTTGTAAATTCATGAAAAATTAGTCAAACAAACTGTTCAACACTGAAGTATTATGTGTACGTTAATCTGCCGAATAACTACATCATGCTATTTTAAATTCTAGAGAAATTCAAATCCTTACTATGTGGTTCCAGTTCAATCAAAGCCGCATCATATTTCTCCATGTCAATACGCATTGACCATTCCTGAAGAAATACTTTCGTAAGATCTCCTGTTAGTAAAATATCAGCAAGTGTTTTCATAATGTCTTTTTGTACATTAACATCGGATAAACGTCTTATTGCTCTAGGACAATGTGTAGAGAGGTGCAACAGGATACATCCTACTGTAATCCCCTTGAACGTAAGTCCCTTCTTCTTGAAATATTCAGTTAATTGTTCACGAAGTATGTTACAGCGATCTTGAAAAACCTTTACATGCTCATGTAGTATCCTTTCAATTTCCTTATTCTTTGCAGAGTTTGGATTCTTGCAGCAGCTAACTTTCACATTTACACCTTAAATTTAAATCATTCCAATATATTTATTTATGTAACATGCATTTTATTATATTTATTTGAACCATATTTAAAGAGGGTGAACCATCCAGCGGAAGCTGATCATTTGGAACCCTCGAAACCACATACATTAATAAGATAGAGTTTAGTTTTATTAAATAGAAAACACTACTTTTGTCTTATCGATGTCGTATATAAACCGACATCCAGACATCATTTCCTAACACTTTCACACAATGTGGTTTTCTAGTACAGTAGATCCATTCCTTTGAGAAACGCTTGAGGAAACACCCCAATTAAAGGAACACTGTTTTGACCGTGAAATGAGAGAAATGAATCTTTTAATGCTACAGTCAACCCTTTATCTATATGTATACGTATATGTGTGTATGTATGTATACGTATATGTGTGTGTGTATGTATACGTGTATATGTATACGGTATGTATGTATATACGTATAT